TAGTTTTACCTAGGTCTTTCATTTCGAATTCTGCTTTCAAGCAGTCGACTGTTTGGGAGATTTCACCAGATGTTCCGAGGATGTTTAGATCATCCACGTAAACTGCTATGATTACAAATCCTTTGTTTGAGTATTTCTTGATGAAAATGCATGGACTGATGGGATCGTTTTTGTAGCCTTCTCTGATGAGATATTCACTTAACCGGTTATACCACATACGTCCACTTTGTTTCAGTCCATACAAGGATTTGTTCAGCCTGATGCAGTATTGATCTCGAGATGCATGCTTATCTTTAAGCTCTATGCCATCTAGTAATCTCATGTATATTTCATTGTCCAGGGGCCCATAGAGATATGCGGTGACAACATCCATTAACCGCAAATCTAGATTTTCTCTTATGGCCAGACTTATGAGGAATCGAAAAGTAGTTGCATCCACCACCGGAGAATAAGTCTCCTCATAATCGATTCCGGGTCTCTGTGAGAATCCTTGTGCTACAAGCCGTGCTTTATAACGAACGACTTCACCGAGTTCGTTTCTTTTACGCACAAAGACCCATTTATGGCCCACTGGTTTGACATTGAATGGTGTCCGGATGATCGGACCAAACACATTCCTGAGTTTGAGACTCTTTAACTCCACGTTTATGGCTTCTTTCCATTTTAGCCAGTCTGTTCTATGAGTGCACTCTGTGATAGACGTGGGTTCTAGATCCTCTTGCGTGTTCGCAATATCAAGTGCTACTTTGTATGCAAAGAGTGCATTTAAGTCGACTTCATTTCTGTTCCATTGGATTCCAGACATGTTGTAATTGATAGAGATCTCATCGTTATCGATCTCGTCAGAACCTAGAGATTCGGCGTCCCGAACCTCTTCTGGTGGTTCATTAGAGAGAGTCTCAGCGCGCGCTATGTCTGTTATATTGGGAATCCCGGTTTCAACTATTGCACCTTTCTTTGATTTCCGTGGATTCTTGTCTTTGGAACCTAGAGGTCTGCCACGTTTATGTCGTGATGCAGGCTCTATAGCAACTTGAACTTGTCCCGTTGGGACAGTGATTCGTACTGGTGCATTACAAGCTGGTATGTACGATTTGGTTACTTTGTTCGGGTCAGCAAAGGAATCTGGCAATTGATTAGCTAGCTTTTGATAGTGTATAATCTTTTGGATCTCTGAATCACATTCTAGAGTCCGAGGATCTTGCCAATTTAAGGATGTTTGATTCCATGATAGCTTTTTGACCAGCTTGTGTTTCTCTCCACCCAATGTTGGATATACCGATTCATCAAATTGGCAATCCGCATATCTGGCCTTAAATAGGTCTCCAGTGGTCGGCTCGAGATATTTGATGATGGTGGGAGAATCAAAACCAACATATATTCCCATCCTCCTTTGAGGTCCCATTTTGGTTCTATGTGGTGGAGCAATGGGTGCATAGACTGAGCACCCAAATGTTTTGAGATGGGAGATGTCTGGCTCATGACCCGTTAATAATTGGGATGGGGAATATCTATGCTCACTAGATGGCCGGATGCGTATTAATTCAGCAGCATGTAATACTGCATGTCCCCAAGCTGAGACCGGGAGTTTCGACCTCATGAGTAATGGTCGAGCAATCCATTGGATTCGTTTAATGAATGATTCAGCAAGTCCATTCTGAGTATGGGCATGTGCCACAGGATGTTCAACGGTTACCCCCATGGCCATACAGTAATCATTAAACGCTTGGGAAGTGAATTCACCAGCATTGTCAAGACGTATAGTCTTTAGTGGGAAGTCTGGAAAATGGGCTCGTAATCTGATGATTTGAGCCAACAACCTAGCAAAAGCTTGGTTCCGAGAAGACAATAGGCAGACATACGACCAACGGGTCGAAGCGTCTATTAGTACCATGAAGTACCGGAATGTCCCAGAAGGTGGGTGAATGGGACCACAGATGTCTCCTTGGATTCTTTCCAGAAAATGTAATGTCTCTTTGGACACTTTTACTGGTGAAGGCCGAGTGATCAACTTCCCTTGGGAGCAAGCTGTGCACATGAGGTGCTGAGGGAAGACTCGGTTTTCTCGAAGGGTGTGTCCTTGAGAACTTTGGATTAATTTACGTATCATGGTCGTACCGGGATGACCAAGCCGGTCGTGCCAAATAGTGTAGTCTTGGAATCGGGCTTTGAGAGCATTATTAGCCTTAATCATACTGACCTTAGCATAGTAAAGGCCAGTAGATAATGTGGGTATAGTCTCGAGGACTTGTTTATGGCCAAGTGTGATCTTAGTGATCAGTAGGGATTCTTTGTTCCTTTCACCCTGGGTTTCTATGTGGAAACCATTAAGTCTGATATCTTTAAAACTCAAAAGATTTCTTTTTGAGCTGGGTGAGTATAATGCATCTGGAATGTCCAGATGTGTGCCGTTTGATAACAACACATGTTCAGATGATAGGATCAATTGAGGAGATCTGAGATCTCGTAGTCTATGGGATCGGTCGGCTCGGTGGTGGTGTCGTCAGCATCAACTTGCTGGGCCATGTTAGCTTCAGCAGGTGCTTTCCCATGTTTCTGATACAAATCGTAATGAAACTTGGGAGTACGACAGTTCTTTGTCCAGTGATTGAACATTCCGCATCTGGTGCAGGCTGATTGGTTGGGTGGGCAGGGCGGTTTGGTTTAGAGATACCACGGCCCTTACCGGAACCATAACCGAGGTTATGTCGGTTGCCACGTCCATTTCCACGTCCATTCCCATGTCCACGGCCACGATCTGAGGATCTGTCTCGCTGGACATTGTAGGATTCTTTGCGGGAATCTGGTACTGGAGCCGATCCCGGGGGCCTCTGGGCACTGTTCCTCATTAACAGGTCATTGTTTTTCTCGGCCAAGAGCAAACAGGATAACAAATCTTCGTACAATGTATGTTTCATTGCACGATATTGTTGCTGAAGCACAATATTTTGGGTATGGAAGGTGGATAATGTTTTCTCGAGGAGATCATTATCAGACACCTCTTCACCACATAGTTTCATGATTGAAACTATCCGAAAGAGTTCGGAGTTGTAGTCATCCACAAATTTGTAATCTTGGAACCGGAGTTCCTTCCAGTCAAACTTGGCTTGTGGCAAGAGCACCGTTTTCTGGTGATCATACCGTTTTTTTCAGGGCCACCCAAAGTTCGAGTGGGTTCTCAAGAGTGAGATATTGCTGTTTGAGGCTTGCGGCCAAATGATGGCGGATATGAAATATCGCCTGGGACCGGTCTTTATCAGATGCGGTGTTATCCGCTTTGATACACTCACCCAGTCCCTTTGAGTTGAGGAAAATCCTGGTGTCCATGGCCCATTCGAGATAGTTTTCACCGGAGACCTTGAGGGCCTCGAACTCGACTTTTTGAATGTTTGACATCTGAAAACATGAAATTGATTTCATTAGGGGTTTGTTATTTGAGAAAAGTTTCTAATTTGGGAAACTTTCTAAATGAGGAAAGTTTCTATTTTAGGAAACCTCCTAAATGAGGAAAGTTTCTATTTGAGGGAAACCTTCTAAATGAGGAAAGTTTCTATTTGAGGAAACCTTCTAAATGAGGAACGTTTCTATTTGAGGAAACCTTCTAAATGAGGAAAGTTTCTATTTGAGGAAACCTTCTAAATGAGGAATGTTTCTATTTGAGGAAACCTTCTAAATGAGAAAAGTTTCTATTTGAGGAAACCTTCTAAATGGGGAAAGTTTCTATTTGAGGAAACATTCTAAATGAGGAAAGTTTCTATTTGAGGAAACCTTCTAAATGGGGAAAGTTTCTATTTGAGGAAACCTTCTAAATGAGGAAAGTTTCTATTTGAGGAAAGTTTCTATTTCGGGAAACCTTCTAATTTAGGAAACTTTCTCGGAAATCGTAAATTTTAAGGATACGGTTTGGTTTTACAGAACATAAGTTCGGTTTAGTGGTTTAAAGTTGAACCGGAATATTAGATTCTGGTTTAAAGTTGGGCCGAATTGATTTCCGGTTTAGAATAACCAGTTTGAACCGGTTTACCCAGATTGAGATCCGGTTATTATTTTCGGAACCGGTTTGATAATCGGTTTAACCGATGAACCGAATTGATATTCGGGTTTAGGGGTTAACCAAGAATGATTTCCGGTTTAGGGGATACACGAATTAGGGTTTTCGTTTCTCTTTGAGGAAAACGATTTGAATTTTGCGGTTTTCAAACGCAAAACGTTTTTAGGGTTCATGCGATTTTAGGTTTTGATTTCTATCAATTTATGCATGCAATCAATCATAGAAATAATCAATCTAAACAACCTAAACAACCTCAATCAATCGATTTATATTTTAGGGATTTCGGATTTGATTTGATTTAGGTTTTAAGGTTTCAGCCATGGCTAAGTGTTTTCGATTTTGAGAGTTAGGTTTAAGCAATAACTTTTCTAACAACTTAAACGAGTCAAGCAATCGAATCATACAAGCAAAAGCAATCACTTAATCAATCATTATCCGTTTTTAAGATTTCGCTTTGCATTAGGTTCAAGTTCGATTTTTGATCTTTAAGCTTTTAAGGTTTTGTTTTTACCTTTCACCAATTGGGGTTGAACGGATTGAACCGGGAGCTTAAGACCTCGGTAACTCACGCTGTCGATGAACAGTACCGATGAACAGTGTCGATGAACAGTACTGATGAACAGTGTCGGCATGAACAGTGTTTTGCGATTTTTAGGGTTAGGGTTGTTAAGAGCAAACTCGTGCTGATAACGTGTTGTGAAACTTATTGTTGTCTCTTCACATTCCATGAATAATGATACATATATATAGGCATATAAACCTAGGGTTTTAGAGTACATAATGAATAACCCTGATGGGCTTATTGGGCCCGGTTATAAGTCCAATATGATGTATTATAACAAAAGTTACGTTTTTGCCAAAATTCAGTATAAATATTTCCTTTTCCTTTCCTCTACATATACCATTTTCAATCTATAAAGCATTAAAGCTTTTTTCCTTGATTTATTATATTTCGTCGAAGATTAGGTTTTCAGAGAACAAAAAAGAGGTAAGTGCATCGTTTGTTTTCTTTCTATTAATCTAGGATTCGTCTTCTCTCACTTGCCCCTTCGATAATCAAACGCTTTGTGATATTTTCAATTTGATTTGTTTCGTTATATTTTCATTCATAGATTTGAAATCCCAAAAAAAAAAAAAAACTGCATCTAGAGAGGCCTATTCGATGAATTCGTCAGACATCTCGACCATCTCGAAAAAGATGGAATCAATGTCAATTACTCACCGTGTTGTCCGACACGACAAGAGATTACCACAGTCTAGATATTCTCCTTACATTTTAGGGTCAGTGACGACTACTATTCCCTACACTAAAGAGACTGATCTTACCATTGAGAGGCAGAAAGATAAGGCTATACGACTCGGAGTTGAGCTCTCGCTCTTTGTAGCTGAAGCAATGTTCATTTTATCCGATGACCTACGTTCTATGTTACTCTTCTTTCCTTTGCTAGTGAAGTATGCAGGGTACAAAAATACTAATGATGGTCCCGTGGTAAGAAGGTTATTTTGTGTTATGCTATATGTGTTTGAAACATATATCAAACCCAAGAATGGAGTCTATCAGGCTGATGGCAAATCCATCCAACGGGAACTAATTGGAAAGTCTCATCAGAATTTTAGTTTTGGGATCAAAGAATTGGATCGCATTGTTTTTGTTCTCGGGAAGAGAGAAAGCTCTTTTGCTGATGTAGTAAAATTACAAACTGATTTTGAACACTACAACCAAGAGCTGAAGAAGCTAGAGGAGACTTTGAGGTCTGCCAAAGATGTTTCAGAGGCGAATGGGTTTGTGAGGGATGAGATAAAGTCTAACATTCTTCATTTGTGGAATTCCCTCTTTGAAACACCATCCAAGTTGATACACCCTAAGGTTAGAATGCTTGAGATGTTAAGGCCTCTGTTGAACCAATCAAGGGAGAGTATTTGCTCTCGTCTTATTGCTTCTTTACACATATGAATCAGAGATTCTTGGATTCGATGATTTTTATTTTCATTCATGGACACGTTAAGCTCTCTAGTGTGCTGATAGAGAAATATGAAAAGAGTTGGCCAACTTTTTTTTTTTTCTCAGTTTTTGTTTTGTTTTATTTAGTGTCATGTTTTGATATATGTAATGCTTATCCAAAACATGTACATAGTGAATAGGGGAATGCGGTCTTAAACTAGTTGAAACACCAATGCTTTTTTGGTCTTTAATTAAGATTGGGTCTCTGTAGTGCATAAAAATGGCAACCTTTTGAAGACATGATGTGATCATTAAGTTCAAAGATATCTAATGCGTTAGCACCAAACGCCACGGTTGTCATAAAGAAACGAAACGATTGAAGAAGGGAAAAAAAGAAAAAAAGTCTGTGTGATTTGTACGTAGCCTGTAGAGATCAGAGAGAGAGTGAGATATCTATAGTTGGACTTGGAGACACGTATAGACCACACTAGATCAATACTTTTATTACCGAATAAAAATGAAGCATTTTGAAGTAAACACAGTTAAATAGAAAAGTTTTATTTGATTGGCCGGCCTCACATTGGAGTTGTAGATGAATTAAGTGAATAAGAACGGTTAAATAGATATGTTTGGATCTTTTTCCAAAGATACAAAATAAATATGAAGCAAATCCAAGGATACAAAACAACCCCATGTATTTTCACAACATGTACATGTTTGTTACAACTTACAAACTTAAAACAAAACAATAGGAGACTTTATATAGAAATCCAAACAAGCTTCCCCATTGAAAGAGATTTTTAAGATTGATAGAAAGCTTTTGCTTCTAATTCTTCTTCTATAGAGAAATGCTGGAAACTGATAACCCTTGTTAAACTCTAAACCTTGTGGTTTTGGCTTTTTGGGGTTGAGAAAACAAAACCAATATTGGAAATGTACTTAAATCGCAAAGGATTTAAAAAAAAAAAAAAAAAATCTCTCTAATTTAAACATAAAAACTACACTTCTACCAAATTTCCAAATAATTATTTCCTTTTACTTTCCTCTATATATATATTATATACTAATAACATATAAGTTATTCCTATATATTATTATTATTCGTTGAAGATTAGGTTTTCACTTTTCAGAGAACACTACAACAACAAGGTAAGTGCATCGTTTGTTTTCTTTCTATTAATCTAGGGTTCTTCTTCTCTCACTTGCCCGATTGATAACCAGACGCTTTGTGATATATTTATTTCCTTATATTTTGATTTATAGATTTGAAATCCCCAAAAAAAAAAAAAAAAAAGCCTCGAGAGCCCTCCTCGATGAATTCTTCAGACATCTCGACCATCTCAAAAAAAATGGAATCAATGTCAATGACTCACCGTGTTGTCCGTAACAACAAGAGATTACCACAGTCTAGATATTCTCCTTACATTTTAGGGTCAGTGATCGATACTATTCCTTACCCTAAAGACACTGATCTTACCAATGAGAAGCAGAAAGATGATGCTGAGCGACTCGGAGTTGACCTCTCGCTCTTTGTGGCTGAAGCAATGTTCCTACTATCTGATGACATATATTCTATGTTACTCTTCTGTGTTAAGATAATTTTGAAGTATACAGGGAACAAAGAAAGGAAGAATCCAACACAAGTGGTGAAAATACTGATTTATGTTATGCTATATGTGTTTGAAACATATATCAAACCAAAGAATGGAGTCTATCAGGCTGGTGGCAAATCCACTCAATTGGAGCTGATCAAATCGTCTACCCAGCATTTTGCTTACGGGGTCAGGAGTTTGGAGCACATTGTTTTGGTTCTCGAAAATGGCGGCTCTATTCCACCGATTTCTTTTGAACACTACAACCAAGAGCTGAAGAAGCTAGAGGAGAAGTTGAGGTCTTCCAAAGATGTTTTAGAGGCGAATGGATTTGTGAGAGAAGCGATGAAGTCTAACATTCTTCATTTGTGGAAGTCTTTATTTGTAACACTACCCTTGATATACCCTAATGTTAGAATTCATGATATGTTTAGCCCTCTCTTGAACCAAGCAAGGCAGGATGTTTGCTCTCGTCTTATTGCTTCTTTACACATATGAATAGGAGTTTCTTGGACTCAATGATTTTCGAAAGAAGCGATTGAGTTTCATTTGTGTATTGACTGTTAATGCATTTTGGTATTCGGCTTTTATTCAGTTTATATTTTATTCACTCTATCAAAGATAATTCAGAGAATGGGTTTGCGACAGAAGACATAGAGTCTACCATTCTTCACTTGTGGAAGTCTCTCTTTGAAACAACACCTCAAGTAATGAACCCTAAAACTAGAGTTCTTGAGCTGTTTAGGCCTCTCTCAAAAAAAGCAAAACAAGAATACTTGATGTCGTCTTCTTGATTCTTTACTCATATGAATAAGTGTTTCTTAGTTATGATGATCTTATTTTATTGCATAATGTTATTCAGTTTATATTTATGAAACCATAACGATTCATTTGATTCTCTAAATAAATGTAAGACAAAAGTTATGAGTAGAAGAAGGTTGTAGTATCAAGTGGCACTAAAATTCTAATTAAAAGGCATCATTGAGTAGGATTCAAAGTCCTTCACATACTAAAAATTGGCAGGTTAACAATATGTGCATTGAGGTAAGTCTCGTATTTATGGATGGATGGCTTTGTCACCATTTTTTCTTAAAAAAGTATTTATTAGTTAGCAAGTTTTTTATGCTTAAGAAACCATAACTCGTTGGCAAAGAACTTTGTTGATTTCCTTAGGGTCCTTATATAACCTAAAACCCCATATATAATAGAAAAAATATATTTTGAGAATCTTCTAAACCTTAACCTTAGGCTCCATTTTAGAGAGATACGATAGTTGGCTTAGAATTGGTAAGGAGTCTTGCGACGGTTTTAGGTCTCCACTACAATTATGAGGTCAGTGCAGGGTTCCATTTTTTCATAAATTAATTTTCAAGCAATTTGGGTTTGATATCGATTCATCAAGGGGTTTCAAATCCATAGAAACAAAGGCATTGGGAAATTTAGATATCGATTAATCTAAAGTTAAGATCTAGGGTTTCGAATTGGAACCTAAGAACCAAGTGTGTTGGGATATGTTATCTTTATATGTTAATTCATGGATTGGAAAGCCCCCAATAACTTATCTTTGTTTCCTTCTCTTTCAAGTGCATCTGAATTGGAAAGCCAACAAAAATTGCATCTGGATCACTCTTCCTCGACGAATTCATCAAACATCTCGATCATATCCGGAAAAATGGAATCAATGTCTATGACTGACCATGTTCGTGTTGTCCGTCACAACAAAAGATTACCACAGTCTAGATATTCTCCTTACACTTTAGGGTTAGTGATCTTTCAATTTTTCCTTTGAGAGTTTGTTTACTTTTTTTCAGTGAAAATACTTATTAATTAACTATTTTTGTTTGTAGAACTGATCTCAACAAGGAGAAGGAGAAGCAGAAAGAGGAGGCTATACGACTCGGAGTTGAGCTCTCGCTCTTTGTGGCTGAAGCAATGTTCCTATTATCTGATGACCAACGTTCTACGTTACACTTTTGTCTTTGCCTATTGAATATTGCAGGTAAGAGAGACTATGACGGTCCCGTGGTAGGAAGACTGGTTCATGTTATTCAATATGTGTTTGAAACATATATCAAACCCAAGAATGGAGTGTATCATGATGATGGCTTGTCGATCCACTTTGAGCTGATCAAAACTTGTCCACAGCATTTTAATTTTGGAGTACGTCTCTTGAATCACATTGTTTGGGGTCTCAAAAATGGTGGTGTAGTGGAATCGTATAGTTTTGATTACTACGACCAAGAGCTTAAGAAGCTAGAAGAGAAGTTGAGGTCTGCCAAGGAATTTTCAGAGGCCAATGGGTTTGTGAGGGAAGAGATAAAGTCTAACATTGTTCACTTGTGGAATTCTCTCTTTGAAGCAACACCGGAAGTGATAAACTCTAATAAGCCTATCCTTCTTGAGCTGTTTAGGCCTATCGAGAAAGAAGTTTGCTGTCGTCGTCTTGCTTCTTTACTCATATGAATCAGAATTTCTTTTATCGATTAGATGATTTTAATTTTATCAAAATAAATTTGGGAAAATTCCCAATAAAAACCCAAAGTAATTTTTATTTGGACGTTTAATACCCAATTCTTTTTTATTGGAATAAAAATACCTCATTTAAATATATGTTGTCTAAAAATACCTAATGTTTAAATGGTTGGTGGATTCGACCCCGTGATTTAACAGCCGTTAACGGCCGTTACGGAGTCATTAACTGCCGTTAAGTTTCAACAACACGTGTTGAAACAAATATATAAATCGTGTTTACTGATACTTACTGTGAAATTGGCGTAGTCTGGTGGTTAGATGGCTGTTTTGTCCACAGAGAGTGCCTGTGTTCGAATCACAACAATATTAATTTTTTTTAATATATTTTTTCCCCTTCCGTCTTCTCTCCTTCTTCTTCCTCCTCACTGTGTAACGTTAATTAGGGTTTTTTTTGGACTTTGTGAATTCCAGAATTAGGTGCTCTGTAATTAGATCGTTGTTTTCTTATCATCAATCCTTTGTTATGTGTCCTAATTTTGGAGATTAAGGTTGAAACTTTCCTCTACAAATGGCGACTAGAGGAAGCAGATCGGATAAAGTTTAGAGGATATTCAAGCAATTCGACGGGAATCGCGATGGTGGGTTTAACTGAGAAGAGATGGCGGCTCTGGTCGTAGTTGTTTATCAACGGAGGAGGCGACGGCGATGAAGCTTTGGGTTAAATGAGGAGGAAGGAGAAGGAGAGAAGGAGGGGAAGAAAAAAAAAAAAACCGACGGTGGACAATGGGTAAGATTCGAACCCGGGTTCCATGGGTGACAAAACACACATCACACCACCTAACTAAGCCAATTTAATTAGTATGTTTGAGAACAGGTTGTATATATCTGTTTTAACACGTGGAGTTGAAATTTAACGGCGGTTAATGAGTCCGTAACGGCCGTTAACGGCTGTTAAATCACGGGGTCGAATCCACCAACCATTTAAACATTAGGTATTTTTAGACAACATATATTTAAATGATGTATTTTTATTCCAATAAAAAAGAATTGGATATTAAACGTCCAAATAAAAATTATTTTGGGTTTTTTTTGGGAATTTTCCCAAATAAATTTAAGACAAAAGTTATGAGTAAAAGGTGGTAGAATCAAGTGACAAAACGCCATTTAATTTCGAGTGATAGTTTTTGTACTGATATAGAATATACATTTTCACGGATACTTTAACGAATTCGTCGAAATTACAGGGACCCATTAGAAGAGGAAATGACTGGTAAGATTGTATAAATTTTGGTTAAAAACTTAAATCAAACAAAAAAAAAGAATTTGAATTAAATACACAATCATGCACTTAAATCAAATAACTTAAAAAATGGACTGAAGACATGTTAGATTGAGTAAATGTAGACCATACATTAGAAGATTATGTTGAGTTGTGGAGATAAATCTCAATATTGTTTTTCTTAATACAATAGGAGTGGTCAATGACTTTGAAGTCTGAAAACAGAAAAGAAAACTATGAGTTTGTTTGGAGTGGTCCGACTACAAGAAAACAAACCATTTGCGACTCCCATAATAGTCGGAAAACAGTCGCAAATCACTTGTTTGCGACTGTTGTCCGACTAATTAAATTGGTCGCTAAAAAACGGTCGCTAAATAAAACAGTCGCAACATAGTCACTTATTTGCGACTACTTTCTTACCGCTTTATATAGTCGTAAATAAGCGACTAATTTGTGACTTGTATATGTTGTTGCATATTCCCGACTAAAACGCAACTGAGTTTGATTAGAGACAGCTTTGTGACTAAGATTTGTAAGGTGAAAAAAAAAATAGTAGTCCCAATTTAGTCGCTGTATCTGTTTCTTCCAGTTGCAACTGAGTCGCAATATAGTCTTTCGTTGTTGCGACTAATGTATGACTATTTTCTATAGTCTCGTATTAGCAACCATTCTGCCACCAGTGTATTTTGGTTTAGTCACAAAATGGTCATAACTTTGTGGTTTGTCGAGTACAAATTGGTTTTGCAATCATAAACCTAATTCAATTTCGAATTGAAAAGCAGTAATCAAACAGAAATCAGATTAACAACTGAGTAATCAAATAACCATCCTAATTAAACAAGATAATCCTAGTTTTAACCAAAATATTAGCATCCTAATAAAACAGGTTTCATCAAACTTACAAAAGCAACAATTAAGAGAACAAGTTCATAGGTTAGAAGAAGTGTCTTCTGGGGTGCCTGTTGCGTCTGGGATGGCTGCAGCTGCAGCTGTTGTAGTTGGTAGAGTGCCTGCAGCTGTTGTAGTTGCTTGGATGGGTGGTTGAGGTTGTGTAGAAGCAGAAGACAAAAAAGCTGCCAACTCAGGATCCTTATCTTTCATGAAGACGAGGAGCTTCTCCAAGCTGGAGATCCGAGATTGAGATTGGCGGTGCTCCTCATCACGTCTTGCATTTTCAGCCTCGTGTTCAGATATCTTGCGCCGCAGCTGATCTTGAAGCTCCACAATGGTTGCTGTAGAAGAGCTCGCATAACTCTCTTTCCTTTTTCCTTTGTTCAGTGTCTCCACAAGCGATCCAAGACCATAAGGGGTACCTTTGTCATCTTTATGAGTACACTAAAACAAAATCCAAAGAATCAGTGAACAAGAACAAGAAGGATGTCCAACAAAACGAAATCAATTACCTTAAGAAAGATCTCATTCTTTTCATCAATGCTGAGTATACGATCAGTGGAATGTTCAGAGGAATTAGTAGAATTCTGAGGACCCTCCTCGTCCAATTCAGACATCCTGTCTTCAATGCCCTTCGCATACGCCTCAGCAACTTCTTTAGCTTTTTGATCCACAAATGATCCATCAGCCCTTGTATGTGTTGCCATAAACACTTCGCCAAGTGATACAGGACGCTTGAGCTCTTCCTCCTACAATTAAACTCAAACAGATTTAAATCATGGAAGCAATATTAGAAAATCAGAGAAATGATTTGTTTGGATGGAAAGAGAACTCTTACCATTTCTTGATGAACTTGCACAAAAGATTTCTGACCGGCTAAGTGTTTGTGCACTCCAAGACCTCCACGATCAGAGTTTCTGCACTGTGAAGCATTCTCACTCCTCTCAATAGCATCCTCAGTCTTCCAATACACCCACATCTCAGCCCAAAGTGTATCACGGATCCATGGTGGTTGTACACCACTCTACTTTGCTTGACTGACAATCCCTTTCAACCGTTTCTTGGCTATCACCAAGAATCCTTCTCTAACAAGCTCAATAATCCCGACATCCCAATTATACTTCCGCTACATAACAAGCAGTTAAGTTAGCAAAGTTACTAAGTCATATATATTAAACAATAACAGAATGTAAGGTATATATGACATTACCGCAAAACTTCTGAAGTATCTCTCTCGAATGGGTATTGGAGTAACCTTCCAACTGAAGTAAGGCCCATCAAACTTCCTCCGGAAGATTCCAGCAATCACTCTAGACAGCTTCCCTTTGTGCCGGTTAAACCTGTAACGAAAGTACATTTCACTTTAGTTAAGCACTAAGACACTGTGAAAAATAACTCCTAATTATATTCATTTCTTGAAATCACATAATTTATTTGATGCAAATAACCAACAGATACTGAGCAAGAATGAAATATGTTTGATTAACAGCAGAATCAACTATGACAAGTCTCTAAACTTCAAGTTGAATTACCAAACAAAGCTTTAGTCATAAATGAACAAGAACCATGAGTCTATTAATGAACAATAACTTGGTCCAACACAGAGATAACATAGATTCTCAAAACAAACACGGAAAACAAACCAAAATGTTTAACAAACACTAAGCTTTCTACTACAGGACATGACTACATGATTTGCAAATGCTTTTAAAAAAACACAGATGCTCACAAAACAATCACAAAATCACAAGGAGAAAAGGAAAGAGATTACCAGAGAGTCTCAACTCCAGGGATCGGGTTCTGAGACAGAAGTGGAAGATGTTGTCGGCCTGGAAGGGCTAGCAAACGATCCAACATTTCTTGGTAGTCGACATTTTGATCTCCATTTTGTTCTTCAGGCACTTCGTCTACTTCTTCCTCATAATCGTCTACTTCTTCCTCATAATCGTCTTCATCATTAAGGTTTAGCTCTGGTAGTATGACCTGTTGCTCCTCTGGATCCTGACGAGGAGGAGGCTGTGGTTGACGCGGAGGAGGCTGCTGTTGACGAGAAGAAGAAGGCTGATGTTGACGAGGAGGCGGCTGCTGTTGACGAGAAGATGAAGGCTGTTGTTGACGCCCAAGAGGTTGTTTTCGACGAGCAGGAGGTGGTTGTTGAGAGCCAGCCGGCGGTGGTTGGTGAGAGCCAGCCCGTGGTGTTTGTTGAGAGCCACCCGGCGCTGTTTGTTGAGACCCACCCGACGGTGCTTGTTGAGAGACAGCAGGTGATGTTTGAAGAGCAGGAGTCGAGCGTACTTGTGTCGCCGGCGGATATTGGGAAGGACGACTTACAGATTGTGTCGCCGAACTTGGGTTCGACGAGTTAGAAGAGGTTCCGACGCCACTGGGGATGAGTTTAGGATTCTGACCATGGTAGACTCTGGCACCACGGTTATTTGTCGATTTGCCTCCGCGACCTCTCGCTGACTTGCCTTTGGTAGGAGCCATTAGAAACAATTAATAGAGAAAGAAACGAAAGAGGGATTCAAAAGAGAAAGAACCGGATTAGGGATTCGAAAGAGAAAGAGACGAAATAGGGATTTGAAAGAGAAAGAATCGGATTAGGGATTCGAATGAGAATGAAGCGAAAGAGAAGAAGAGAAGGAATCGATTCAGGGAGAGAGAGATTGAAACCCTAGATCGAGAGAGAAGAAGAAGAATCGCAGAGTTGGAGTGAAGAAACCCTAGATCGAGAGAGAAAGAAGATCGAGAGAGAGTGAAGAAAGTGAAAAGTCGAGTGTGTATTTTGCCTAGTAATTAACGAAAAGGAGTCGCTCTTTAGTCGCAAAACAATCGCAACATCAATTATTTGGGGGGAA